AAGCTCCAAATGCAGAAAATGCATGCTATAGATGTGGAGGAAAAGGGCACTGGTTACGTACCTGTTGTACGCCAAGCACCTGGTTGAGCTTTATCAAGCCTCCCTGAAGAAGACAGAGAAAAATGCTGAAGCAAATTTTATTTCTGAAGATAATTTAGACTTCATGCATTTGGATGTAGCTGATGACTTTGCACTCCCAGAAGGAGAAAAAAGTCATGTGATCGGTGGTGAATCTGTAGAAATGTAAATATTTTAATTTTTGTTGTTTGTAATAGATAGTATGGTTATGTAATTGTACATAAATAAAAGTTATGATTTGATAATTATGTTTACTATATATATATATATATATATATGTTATTTTGAAGAATATGGATAACATTATTAGATCAACTTAAACTCTAGTAGAGTTTGCAAGAAATATACAACTACGAGAAGTGGTTATATTTCGTATACCACATTGTAACTATATTTTGCTAACCACCAGAGGTGGTATACGCCTATGATCACCAGAAGTGATAATTTAGGCTTTCTATGGTTACAATTGAAGATAAGCTACGTAAATATTCTCTATATTAAATGCACGCCTCGATTTGCTCCTGAAGTAGTAAATATTTTAAAAGAGGTTGAGTCTTCACAATTTGATGTGATTAATGCGCATTCAGATAATTATGTTCGATTTTCCTGAAGGATGAGAACTTTTGATAATAATAATCCATTCCCTGAAGTGAATGTGATAACATTAAAAAATCTGGTAAATATGAACGCGCTCTTGATGTAAATATATTACAATTCACCTCCAGAAGAGGTAATATAAGAGAATATATACTCAATATTTCGTATTTTAAATTTGCTCCTGAAGAAGTAATACAATTGAAATTGCCTCCTGAAGTAGGAAAATATTATGAAGAGGAGTTTTCTTGTGCTTAAACAATTGTTTATTTGATTGTGATTTTCTCTTATGATACCAGAAGTATCTGAGCAATATTTGATAGTACAAAATGTATCAACAACTCCTGAAGGGCTAACTGTTTGCCTAGAAAACACATGACACCAGTAGTGTCCGATAAATATTAGATTGTGGATAATAAATGAAGGCTCTCGAAGAGCTTATTTACAAATTTGTCATTCATACTATATGATTATGGTCAAAACATATGTTGTAGTAAACCCGAAGTTTACTAAAATAAATGGCTATCATATTGAGACTATAAATGATTGGAAGATTGAAAATCTTCATGTTTCCACAATCATAGGGGGTAAAATAATATGTATATGAGAAGTTACCCGCCTTATTCTTCGATTTGTACTACATCATGTATCACGGTATACCAGAAGTTTACTAATACAAAAGTAGCAATAGTAAATCAGAAGTTTACTAATGCAAAAGTTTATGTCATAGTAAACCAGAAGTTTACTAAGAGATAGCACATGCCATGATAAACTTGAAGTTTTCATTTGCATTTTTAAATGAGCTATGTGAGTATTTAGGTAAGCATATACTAAAGAACTAGAAGATTCTTCAAGAATTCTCTTGTGTTGCTTGTTCTCATAATAAATTGATTATGCCAGCTAAAGTTGGGACTAAGACCCCTGATTCTGAAATATATAAAAGGTGAATATGGGCCCATTCACCTATCATGTGAATAACTTATAGATGCATATATAAGATGGTTACATGTATGTTTACTGTCAACCTGCAGTTTGGCATTTGAAATTGCTTTTCTCACTTAAGAGCATAATTTTCAGATTATGAAATCAAGACAGTTCATCTTGATAATGCTGGTTTATATACAAGCTAGTTTAGCAGTGAATACCTCCTATTAATGGCTAAACTATTGTTTATGAGAATAAAGCTTCATGTGTTGGTCTAAGATTTTCTAAATTGCATATAGCAGCACTTGTATGCATCAGACCAACAATATATGATAAGTCCTCCCCTCATAATTGGTTTAGGATCAGAAATCAAATATTTTACTATCTTTTGATGTGTGGTATATGATTAATTTCTCTACCACAATGCACAAAGATATGTTTCCCAAAGAAGATTGGGAATATATGTTAGTTTTTCTAACATTTGGGGAATGGAATAAACAGCTGAAAAATATGCTATATGAATCGAATTATCATTAATATGATCCTCACTTAGAAGATAATTCAACTTAAATGCCAGAAGCATTTGCTGATCCAAAATCAAATATCATATTTCAGCTGCAAATGCTCCTATTAAAATTTAAAGTCCCTAAATGATAGAGTTTACTGTACGCATGAAGCGTGGTAGACCAATAGGTTCCAAAGGTAACAATCCTTGAAAAATGATAAGGAGCTAATGATCAAAATGATCATAATGAGGAGGAAATGAGCTCTAGAAGAGCCTACGACATAACATTTCATGAAACTCCAGAAGAAGTTGAGGTACCTGAAAATAAAGAAAGTGATGAGATCTAAACAAGTTATGTCGCTTAGGAACTAATACAAAATGATCGTCGACGATATATTTGATACAATATAGTGCACAATACTGTGAAATATTGTGAGGATCGGACCAGTAGTCCAGACACCTGAAGATGTCATGCCATTTAAATGTGAGTCATAACCTATATGACTCATTTGATTAAATCTCTATAAAGATCCCTGAAGGATTTAAAATGCCTGAAGCATGTAGTTCAAAGTCTCGAGAAATGTACTCAATCAAATTATAAAGATCTTTGTACGGTTTAAATCAATATGGGCGCATGTGATATAATCGCCTCAGTGAATATTTGCTGAAAGTAAGTTACATAATTGATGTTATTTGTCAATGTATTTGTATAAAGAAAATGTCATCAGAATTTGCTACACTTGATGTTTATGTTGATGACATAAATCTTGTCGGAACTCCAAAAGAGCTCTAAAAGGCAATTGAATATCTTAAGAAAGAATTTGAGATGAAAGATCTTGGAAAAATAAAAATTTGTCTTGGTCTGCAAATTGAATATTTAGCAGACGAGATCTTTATCCATCAATTTGCCTATACAGAAAGGGTCTTTAAACGCTTTTACATTGACAAAGCGCACCCATTAAGTACACTAATGGGTGTTCGATCACTTGAAGTAAATAAGGACCCGTTCCGACTTCTAGAAGAGGATGAGGAACTCCTTGGTCCTGAAATACTCTATCTCAGTGCAATTGCTATGCACTTATGTATCTTGCTAATGCTAACAAAGGTGGTGCAGATCGTATTGGTTATGCAGATACAAGATTAGAATGCAGAGACTCAAATATTTGAAACAAGGTTTTCATCAGGGGGAGTAAAATACGCGATGCACTCTTTTTTCCTTATTAAGGTTTTTTCCCACAGGGTTTTTCTTATAAGATTTTTAATGAGGCACCTAGCAATGCGTATTACTAAATATGTGTACTCTTTTTCCTTCACTAGAATTTTTTTCCACGGGGTTTTTCCCAGTAAGGTTTTAATGAGGAACATTATCTTTTAATGAACATCTAAGGGGGAGTGTTATAAATATATTATATTATGGATGTTCATTTAGTACTCCGTTGTAAATAAGCTTCCTGAAAAAGCTTATCCATATGGGACTCCGCCGTAAATATGTTTATCTATTTAGTACTCTATTGGAAATAAGCCTCCTGAAGGAGCTTATCACTTCGGTACCCGGTTATGGATAAACATTACCCCCGGTAGAAGATTATCCATATCGGGTATAATAAGCTTATCCTTTCGATACTCCGTTAGGGATAAACATTACCCCGGTAGAAGATTATCCATACCGGGTACCAGTGTTTTGGAAAGCGTTAAGCGCAAAAAAGCGACGAGGCCTCGCTTCACAGAAGCGAGAACCGCGAAGCGAAACGCGCACTTTTTTGCTGTGAAGCGCAATTTAACACATAGATAAAAAAATAGGCATAGATAAATGGCTAAGAACTCATTAAAAATAACATATTAAGCAAATGTTTCAATTCTTGAATCAAGAAGCAAATAATAGATACTAGAAAAAAAAAACAATTAGGGCAGAAAACAGTGCACTTCACTGATAAATTGCAGAAAACAGAGCATAAAGCAGCATAAAATAGAGCACTTTTAATAACAGAAGAAGAAGAAGTCGTTTAGGGCAAAAAATGAGCGCTTAAAAAGTGAAAAAATTGAAAGAATAACAGAAGAAGAAGAACAATAACAGAAGAAGAAGACCAGAAGAAGAAGAATAACGTAACAGAAGTTGAAGAAACTTACCGAGATCTGGAGAAGAAGTCGTTGGAGCAGCAGTGGTCGTCGATGGAGGTCGTTGGAGCAGCAATGGTCGTCGATGGAGTTCGTTGGAGAAGAAGAAGAAGAAGAAGAAGAAGAAGTTGAAGAAACTTACCGAGATCTGGAGAAGAAGTCGTTGGAGCAGCAGTGGTCGTTGATGGAGTTCGCTGGAGAAGAAGTCCTTGCGTATGTTTTGTTAACAGATGGATTATTTGCCAAAAAAATTTGAAAAAGCCCTAGCTGATGCCTTCTGCTCGCTTAAGCGAGCTTTTTCTACTGGCTCGCTTCTCGCTTAAGCGAGAAAAGCGCACGCTTTTTGAGTGTGAGTCGCATTTTTAGCAGAAAAGCGCTAACCCTGCGCCTCGCCTCGCTTCATCCCTTAAAGCGAGAAGCGACCGCTTTTAATAACACTGCCGGGTACAATGAGCTTATTCTTTTAGTACTTCGTTATGGATAAACATTACCCTCAGTAGAAGATTATCTATACATGGTACAATGAGCTTATTCTTTCAGTACTTCGTTATGGATAAACACTACTCTCAGTAGGCTTACACAGCAGTTTGCAGTAGCAGCTTACATAGCAACTTCCTTTCTTCTATAAATAAAAGAGATTTCAGCTCATTATGTACAGAAATTTGAAGTTGAGTAATATATCAGTTTCTCTGTATACTTGTCTTTACTTTATGATCTTTATTTTATAACAGTCATATGAGTAATCAGCATATAATATCAAAAAACCAAAAAAAAAAAGTATGGGCCCAGAGGCAGAAGGAGAATGAGAGGCAGGCAAGAAGATGAAGCTAATGGCTTGAGACAAAAACCACACGATTCTCCCTATCGCATCTCCTTCTTTCAATTCATTCAATTCATTCCCTCTGGGATAATAATACTCTTTTCTTGTGCAAATATTAAAAATCATATTCCCAAGTAAAAAAAACCCATTATTGAAGATGAGAGGTTGCTGAATAGACAGTTTTGATAGATGATGGCAACTCTACCTGTGTGTTCAGCTACTGCTTCCTTTTCTTCCCATACGCAGGTTACGAATGTGTTTTTAATTTCTATATTTTTCGTTTGTGTTATTAGTATTCAACTGATAAGATTATAATCTTTAATGAAAAATGACTTAACATGTGTGTAAAAGCAAGGTGAATGCAAACAAGTATTTTAATGCACTGTCAGAGATGAATTAATAATTGAATTTTGGACTTCAAATTAGTGCTTCTACTTTTGTTAGTAAAATTTATGGTTTAATGTACAATTAGTGTCCTAGGCAAGCTAGTTCTTCACATAATGCCTTTGATAGCATGGAATGTTTGAAATTGGGGACAGAAAGCTTCATTCATTCCTACTCTTGTCGTAGGAGTATTTCTTTTCCTTTTTCCAGATATCTAAATTTATGTTCCTGCAGATTCCTCCTACCTATGAGGGGTTGAGATCCTTTTCCTCCTGTTGGAAGACATACCAGATGAAATGCAATGTCACTGACCGGGTGTCTAATTCATTCCATCTGAGATTTGTTGATACTTCTGCTCTACCTAAGTCCGTAACTAGAGGAGAATTGGCTTCATTTAACTTGGATACAAGTTCCTTATCTGATGTGAAATCATATGCTATGGATGTTTTTAAGAATGGACAAAGTTATTTGAACAATTCACTTGATGGAACTAGCTCATCTGTTACATCAGCTCTTAGACAAGCAGTTGATCAAGTGATTAGTAAATTGCCATCAAAAACAGGGGAGTCGGCGGTGACAACCTTGAAAGAAGCCTCTGGTAGAGTTGGTGTTCTTGCTGTTGATGCATTGAGACATATAATTCTCATTGTTGAGGATTCGGTATCACGATTTGTTGTCTATGCTTATGGGTCCGTAATGGAGATGCTTCCTCCAGAGATCCAGGATGTGCTAAATGTTTCGCTTCTCACTCCATTGCGACAGGTATGGGCTAGTAGTCTCACATTTGCTAGTGTACTTCTTTATGTACAAATATTTAGAGATACTTTCATGTTTCACAATTGTATAAAATTGTGATTAACAGGGTTATGTTGCTCTGGAGGGTTTGGAGAGGAACCTTGGCATGGATCCAAGTGACCCAATTATTCCGTTTGTTCTTTTCCTTGGGGCATCAACCTCTTTTTGGTATGAGTACACCTTCTATTCCTTATTTCATTGTTCCCTGTTATTTTCCTACCACAGGGAAAGCTGAGTTTAATTCTACAGAAAGTTATATTGCTTATCAGATTTCTGCAGGGCTTTTTATTGGGTATTGACCTATGGTGGATATGCTGGAAATTTATCTCCTAAGTCAAGTTTTGAGCTTCTGAAAGGAGACAGGAATGCTCTACTCATTGATATACGACCTGAGGCAAGGCGCTCTCATATTTTCTGCAGAATAGTTTGTGCCAAGATGTTCTGTGATCTTTGTTCTGCAATGTTTTCCATTACATTTATCTTAGTAAATAATGTTCTGATTTGATACATGTGTACGTTGAGGGTAAAGACGAACAAATGTCACTTATATCTTTCTTCTTCCTCCTGTATGCTTTTCTGAAGGATCTCAGAGAGAATGAAGGCATTCCTGATCTTCGACGTGCTGCTCGGTCTCGTTATGCCAATGTAACACTACCTGAGGTTGGTCGATAATAATTTCTTTTGGCAGGAATGAGCTTTCTAATTCCAGGAGTCTATCTTTTAATTGACAGCCCTCCTTTTTCTCTATATTGCTAAAATGTTTTCAGGTTGATGGATCATTAAGGAAGTTACTCAAGAGTGGAAGAGAACTTGATGACTACCTGCTAGCTGCTGTCATTAGGAACTTGAAGATTGTTCAAGTAAATAGATATGTTTTCAGAATTGGTTTTTTTTTTTTGCCCAACTGCCTTTGTATTTGTTATAATTTTATCTCCTGAAGAACATCTCCCCATGTTTCTCTGTCCTTGCCAACTAAGTTGCTCCGACATGGGTGTTTAGGTGCCGCACCCGTGTCGACACGACACTAGTATCCGTACCGGATCTGGCCAAACAGTTTTGAGTACTTTGACCATGGCGGACAGAAAAAATCCGAGACGAGATACAATTTGATTCCCGAAATTAGAACTAAAACTCGGGTAAATTTGAAGAAAATAGCATACCTTATCTAGGAAATCAATCCTTTACTAATTTACAACTTGAGAATAAAAAAGAAATTCACACTTTACAAGCTATACTTAAGTATCCCACAAAATTTCTCATAATTTAGAGATACTTTTATTTTTTTGAATTATTTTTAGCGGGATCCCCACACTTGTATCTGTACTAGAATTCGTATCCCCGAATCTTAGAATTTACATCTCGAAGGATCCGACCTCTAGATCCGCACCCGTGTTGGACACCCCCACCCGTATCCGAGCAACTTAGCTCGCCAAAACTTGAGAAGTAAAAATTGCACAAAAGAGCCAATTGGCTTTATTTTTCTTGATCTAACGTGCATTTATTAATTTTTGCTCTTGTTTTCATACTTAAAGAACCTGTTTAGTGGTAAAAGATTCTTATGTTAACCTTACCCCGTTGACTTCTGATAACTTTTGTCGTATTTTGATTACCATCCATTGCCCAACCTATAGGACAGGTCTCAGGTTATAGTTATGGATGCTAATGGTAGTCGTTCCAAGGGCATTGCAAGGTCACTCCGGAAACTTGGAATAAAGGCAAGTATATTTGCTCAATGTCTATCTCCCCTGTACTTGTCATTAAAAATTACAGATAGCATAAGTGAGTCATGGATAATAATAATGTAAAGAAAGAGGCAACTGTATGGTCTATACATCTTACCTCTACTACTTTTTAGTACCCTTATCAGTTAGAAAGATTGCAGGGATGGGGCCTACTTTGAGCTTGGGCAGCCTCAGATCTTTGTAGGTCTATGTTGTAACCCAGCACAATAGTAATTCTTTTTTTCTTTAAAAGCATGCATTTGCTCTTCTTTTGCCTGTTTTGTTTCAGTTATTGTAACTAACCTGATAACCCTTGCTTGGTTATTGATAATAGAATGATTATTCAATTTGTGATAACAATGCATATAAGCAGGATAATAATTTTTCATGCGTTGCTAAGACATATAGTTACTTTTTACACACTAGGACTTTGCTTATAGATGCAAGGACACATTGGTTCTCAAGTGGTTGTAGTACGTTGTGTGTTTAAAAGATTGGGATCTTACATGTTCTTCTAAAAGCATGCCCGTTTTGTTGTGTTAATTGTATTGCTTTTAATGTTACAGAGGCCATATTTGGTCCAAGGTGGCTTTCAGTCTTGGGTGAAAGAGGGCCTCCGCATCAAGGAGTTGAAACCTGAGACTGCATTGACAATCCTCAATGAGGTATCTGATATATTTCTCGACTTTTTTAAAGTGAGCCCTATGATTGCCGAGGCTGTGCCAATCTCCCTGTTACTCTGTCAAAAATACAAGATGTCTTGATAAAAAGCCTATCATTTATACAGCAGTGACGTCGTCACGCCTATACAACAACAACAACAACTACCCAGTAAAATCCCACCAGGTGGGGTCTGGGGAAACGTCGTCACGCCTATATGTATGCTAATTGTCATGACAAGTCAGCTACTTCTCCAACACCATCAGATACAAACATATATTTTAAATTATCAACTCTCATCTCTTCCTTTCGAAACCAAGCATTCCAAAATAAGTGGATTTTGTCCAATATTTCTTGTCACCTCAGTAGTATTCCAACTATTTATGAACAAGGAAATTGCCTGTCGACAATTGCATGACTTATTGTGAAACAAGCACAGTGGCAGCTAATTCAGCAATCCACTTGCAGTGGAAAATGTTGTTCAGACTCTTCAATCTTACGAAAATAAACAGCTATTGAGAAAACCTCATTCTTAATTACCATCTGTGGGTTGGGGTGGGGGGCTCTAGTCGCTTAGTAAGAAGCTTTTCTCAGCCGTTTTCCCTTACCAAACAGGTCACCAAGGAATTTCTGTCATCAATATTTTTATTTATACTGTATGACCATCTTTGGGGGCTTCTTCTGCGATTTTTACTTTGAAATAGAATGAAGTTGAGGCAACCTGCCGTCGCCTTTGTCTAAGGCAAAGTGATGAATACACTAAACAAGCAGTTTGAATTCAAATAACCAAATTTATCTTTCAAGCAAAGGTGGGTAACTGTTATCTAAATTAACTGCCAAGAGATTCAACCAACTAGTAAGCAAATAATGATTGAAATGTTTTTGATGTTTTTGTCAAATAGGGAAAAGTCTAGGGTTGTAACCTTCACCTAGGTGTAAACCTAATGGGTAGAGTAAATCAATGCATGCTTGGTAGATCGGGGTTTGTTATGACTCTCAATGCTCAAGTACCACTCAATACCTCTCGATTAAAGAGTGATTATGCCCCAATTGGCTTTTTCAAGACCAAATGGATAGCAATCTAAACAATTGAATAAGACTCCAAGTTGGATTATCCCTATCTCTAGTGCAAGTCGTTTAATCAAACTAATCAAAACTTCAACTAGTTCAATTCTTGTTAGCCAAATTTTCCTAGACTAAACCCTCTTTCTCAAGTAACAATGAAGTCAAATAGGCATGAAGCAATGTCTGCAACCATTAATTTTAAGTATAAAGTATAAACAAGGCTAAAACATCCAACAAATCAATAGCAAGCTCTAATATTAAATACCCATATGTTTTACACACTAGGGTTGGATCACAACCCTAGAATAAATCTAGCTACTCATAATCATTGACATGAAAAAATGAAAAGAAGAAGTAATTGAATACATGGAACTAGAATTAAAGAATAAAATTATCGAGTCTTCTCTAATTGTTGCTCCAAATTGCCCAAAATGGCAAAATATAACCGCTAGCAGCTGTTGCGGTACAGAAGTTGCCGTAAAAAAGTGTTCCTCGTCTATTTATAGTGCTCTAAAATTCGACGACAAAAATACCCTTCGGAGGGTTCTGCGGCCGCACAAATACAATTACGTCTGTGGTCCACTTTGGGATTTTGCTCTTTCAGGTGCTTTCAAATGAAGATTTTCTGCGGCCGCACATAAGCTTCTGCGGCTGCACTTCAGCTTCTATGGCCGCACAATTTTGCTGCGGACCGCACTTTTGAGGAGGCTTCAGACTTGTTCGATTGCAATCTCTCTGATCTTTCAGTCACGTCAGTGCGAACCTCAAGTGCGACCGCACTTTTTGGCCTGCGAGCCGCACCTCTGCCTGATACCTTTGAAGCTTAGTTTCTCTTTTGCGGCCGCATATCATCTTTTGTGGGCCGCATTTGCTTTTGCGGCCGCAGAGGGAATTTTGCGGACCGCACTGTTCCTTGAACTTCTCCTCTTGATTGTTTTGAGCTGGAATATCTCCTCTTTGAGTTAGACTTCTTGTTGAGCTCACATTCTACAACACACCTACAATTCATGCATTTTCATTAGATTCAGGAGCAAAAGTCACTACTCTCGGACTAAAAACTAAAGCAAGAAAGTACTAATAAGTGGTTAAAATCCACACTTATCACCCACCCCCACCCACACCCTCACCCTACCCTCGCCCCCCATCCTAAATAGAAATATTATTAAGATTACTTTCTTTTCATGTTGTTGATAAAGTACTTTCTTTTTCCTTTCAACAAAATGAGTATCTTTTCATGTTTTAAAAAAATGATGTTCTTTCATTTCAACAATTTTTTTTTTATGATGTAGAAAAAGTATTTTCTTTCCTTCAAAAAAATGATGTAGTAATGAGTATTTTCTCTTTATGATGTAGAAAGAGTATTTTCTTTCAATTCAGCACAATGAATATTTTCTTTTCATGTTGTAGAAAAAGTAGTTTCTTTTTTAACCAAAAAAAGAGGATTTTCTTTTGTAGTTGTGGAGCACAAATTTTAACGTTGCTTTTGCGTGAAAAAGTAAAGCAACACATTAGTTCCTTTGGGTTTGTAAGAGTTTTTTAAAAGAATAATTAAATTCTTGAAAAAAAAATAGAGTGTTGAAAACATTGGGCATTTGGGAGAGGGGATGGGGGGAGGGGGAGAGGGAGAGCACAGGAAACATGGGGATTTGGGGGAGGGGGGGAGAAAAGTAGCATAAAATATTATTTTCTTAAAAAATATTTTCTACTCTCTAACCAAATACTAGAATATATTTTTCGGAAAAAGTTTTTCACTCACCAACCAACAAAGGGAAAATAAGTGATAAAACCACCCATTTTCTAGAAAATCATTTTTTTGGAAAACATTTTCCTTCATACCAAACACACCCGATATGGCAAATTCTTTTCCTCTCTTTCCCCCCTCTTCCCGTGATAAAAGGTTTTAAACATACATTCTTTATCTCTCTTGGAGTATCGTTTATTTAAGATTGTGAAACTAAACAGGAAATAAATTTTTCAACGTATTCAAGTTCCCTCTAAATCTTAGTACGTTTTTTTTTTATTTTTTTATTTCTTTAAGAATAATCTGAGTAAGTTTTTATTGGTAAGATGGATCTTATTTATAATATTTTTATGTGAAGAAAACTTTATGCGGTTAGGCTTCTAATTATATTTTGAGTTTCACGAAAGATTGAAGTAGAGAATTGAATTTAAGTTTTTCCGTAGGAGTATAATGTTGTAAAAAATCTATTTAGTTTGATGACTTTAGAGAACTATTTTTAAAATTTTTCATTTCCATGAAAGATATTGTTTTACCTTGATTTAATTAAAAGAAACATCTATCTGATAGAATAATGTGGAAAGAACAGTCGTTCTCAAAGAATAGTTTACATCGGCATTAGTGCTCTATGTCATTTTATAGGTAAATAGTGGATATATACTTACTGACTGGACTAGAATCATAAAGCTACTTTTAAGTAACTGTCTTGGGCAGAAGGTGGTAATATTCCACATTCGGTTATTTTCAGGAAGCTGAGGCAATTTTTGAGGAAATCAGCCCGACACCGTTACAACTTGTTGGATACGGAGTGGTAATACTTTCTGAATGTGTAACATGCAATTTAAGTCTTATAAAGCATATCTGTTGTTTTTGCTTTTTCCTCTGTAGTGTTTTTCTGTTTATTTATTTCATCATATACAAGAGTTACAAGCCGAAGCTCTATAGTATCTCATCAATCAATTATACAGTAGAAATGTCTTGCACATTCAAAAAAACTAGGGAGGTCATCTGTATCTGGATCATTGATTTCTCCTTACCTCGAAATGCTCAGCAGTTCCTTTATTCCATAGGGATGACACTTTGGGCATGAGATTTCCCATGTTCTAGCTCCTTAGCCTTCTACTTCCATGCTTCCCGCTCCACATGAGTTCCTGGACATATTACGCCAATCAGGTTTCACAGCTGTGTTACAATATGGCTATGGATGAGCAAATGTTTCCCATCCTCCTATCTCCTATATATTAATTCCTAAGGCTTGAGAGTATTGCTCTAGAGATGCTTCATCTTCTTTTAGTGTAACTAAGGACATGCTATTCTCCAATTATGTACTCGTGGTCTTTTTTTCTTTTTTTTTTTTTCTTTTTTTTGAGAAAGGTAACAATTTGTATTCATATCATTAGCACAAAGGCAGTGGTAGATGCCATATTTAAAACCCAAAAGAGAGTATCACAAAAGCATGTGTCCATGTTCTTCTTACAAAGATTCTGTAACTGCTAGCTCTAGGATAGAGTTTGCATCATCTGGAAATTCCTCTTTATTCCAAAAGTGAAACGAAAGTAGATAATTCATTTTAATCTTTTGAACAGAACTGTATTTATCCTCAAAATATCTTGAATTTCTTTCCTTCCATATAGTCCACTATATGTAAGCAGGAACTATTTTCCATCTTTTCTTCTGTGCGATGATGTTGGCCAGGCTATTCCAACATGCCAACAGCTCCCTAGTTGATTCCTTTTATGTACCGTGGTTTCTCCTAATGAAATATCTCTTTTACTGCTATCACGGTCTTGGTTCTTGCATTCAAGCCCCATTTCTATTTACACTATGTTTGATTCAAGAAAGGGAAAGGGAGGGTACTGAGTCATGCTAATTTGATTCCCGTAAAGGAAGTACTTCATCTTCCCCTCATGTTGTTTGGTATTGCCTGAAAAGTAAAAGTACTGCTTCCGTCTATTTATGAGGGTTGAATAAGTTAAAGTGGAAAGGTTCACTTCCTTCCATTTTTCTTCCCCTTCTCTTTTACTGCCATTATACAAATGAAACACCTGCTACCCTGCTTTCCCTCTTGCAACTATTCCTATTTTTACCCTAACGAAGGATAGAACTTATTCAATCAAGAATGATGGCTTTCTCCTAATGAAATATCTCTTTTACTCGTTTTTTTTCTGCTCCCACTTATAGAATATTGCTTTCTGACATACAAATTGGCTATCCTCATTCCTCACATAAACTTTTTGTTGGCCATATAACTTTTTCGTCAAAAACTGTGAAGTCACGTATTTAGTGGATGTTATCTTATTTAGCTTGGTTTACGTACTTCCAATTGAACCTCATTTCATTTGTTTCAGTATAACCTTAGAGCGTCGTTGATTGATTTTGGTTTAGTATAAAGTGTAAAGCTTACGGTTAACGAAATAGATATTTTGTGGTTTTTTCCCTCACGACCCTCATTCCTATCTTTGGTGATGCAAGATTTTGCGAACTCTTTCTGCTAACTTTATCACACTTTTGGTTGCTTGCTTCACTAATTGGTGTGATGCGCTCTTGGCAGGGTTTGGTAGCAGCAGCATATGCATTGGGTGGTGAGTATGCAATTTCTGCCAAATATTCTGATTCTGCAAATTTTCTCCATTGCAGAAATTTTGGATTCACTTATTCCAGCAAATTAATGTTTATTGGAGAAGAACACAGGCTATTATTAAATTTCACTCTAGACATTCAAATTAGAAGAAATTAACGGTCAATGATTCTTGTATCTTCTTTTGGGGGGTAGTCGTAATGCGATTTGCAAGTGTATCACATGATGTTTGTTCTCCAAACAGAAGACATTATGAATTTCTTCTTGCTTTTTATTCTCCAGAGTGGGAGAAGACACTACAATACATTGGAGTTTTTGGCCTATGTCAGGTAATGGTTCTTGATGCAAATAAATTTTCTTTATGCCACTTGATTTCTTGTAGTTGGAAAGCCGCCAAACGATGATTTCATGATTATTGTCGAAGTACTAAATGCTTATTAAGCTGATATTTGATTTCCTAAACTCTGGATTTTTTTTTTAAATTTTTTTTTTTTTTTTTGTTTTTAGACTTTATACCGTCGAGTTTCTTCTTACGAGGATTCAGAGGATTTTAAACAGGATATGAGGTAAAACAACTCTTCGTTAACTTGAGTTACTGTCAAGTTCTATACTTTTACATAGTGTTTATTTTATTTGTTCTTTGAGCCACCCGTTAAAGTTTTACTAATCGCGGAACTAAAGGTTAAAGAACTAAAAGTTAAAGAACAACAAGTGAAGAACAAGCTAATGCACCTATTTTCTATTGGTCGACGAGTGACGTCAATTGATGTTATAAATGTGATGCTACTTTTAGCAACTCAATCACATTGAGCTTTCCATTAAGTACTGGGGTAGATTTAGATACCTCTTGGCTCATACATATATTTAAAATAAAATTACTTCCTGATTAAAAAAAAGTAGTTAGGAATTTACTTGAAAGGAGAAACAACTGTTCGATCTTAGGCATATGACAAACAACACTTTGTGATAACTTATACACTGAGCTCCATTCTTATAGCCTTGGCACTAACAACATAGCAGAAAATGATGATAACTCAAACATAGACCGTTTAGGATGACATCATATCAGTAGATCTTGATACGGATCAGATGTGTTATCAGTTCCCATCATGGTTTTCTCCCATATCTGATTTTTATTATTGCACTATGTTGGATGCCATTGTCTTGTTGTAATTTCTACATGTGATATGATATATTTTACAATGTTGCATGTGTAAATTGTTTGCTTTGATGATATTAGACGGATGCTTACTGTGTTCTTTTTCCAGGCAACTTTTGGTCCCCGTTAGGCTAGGAGAACAGGCAATGACATGGGCAGTTGGTAAGTTGGAAACAAACCGTAGTCGTAATGGCCTACCAACTTCACCTTCTTCAACTGATGTCCAGAGCAGGGTGTTGCAAGCTGCTGCAAAGCATGAATCTCAACCAGAAAATGAAGAGCTTCAAGATCCGTCCCCTGAAACTGTGTCTTCCGTCAGTGAAAACGTTGATCTTTCTGAAGCATAGAATATTAAGTAGTTTTCAGCTAACTTTGAATAGTTCAATCGAATGATATTGCATGTTGCTGGAATCCGTTCTGTAGATTCAGTCAAAACACTGATATATCAACCAAATAAACCGCACCTCAATTTTGTATAGTCAAGACCCTGAAATTCTTTTTTTCTTTAGTGAATATGTAATGATGTGCTGATTAACAGGAATGTTCCTATAAGGAACTCTGTATACCAGTCCCTTATAGAGCCTAAAACAATTTAAGTGGGGATGAGCCTTTAAAAATTGACCTGTTTCCTAAAGTATTTAGAAAATGACCCCCGATCCCACGCACACTTACTATTTGTCAGGGATTTCTCTATCAGATTGATGTTTATGCTATATTTACTCTACTTATATTATTAATTGTTTAAAAATTCTACTCGGTTGGCATGACTTCGTGATTTTTTAATTATTCATTAGACTCTACCATATTGGTATGACTTTGTTAATTGCATTTAACCTATTTGTTAGATTGTTCATAAACTCTAATCCAATTGGCATGAGTTTGTTCTTGTTCAATTGTTCCCCAAATTCTACTAGAGTGGCATGACTTTGTGTTATCTACAATCGGCCTATTTGTTAAATTGTTCATCAAAGTCAATCCGATCTACATAACTTTCTATGTGTTGTTCAACAAATTGTTCTTCAAAATTGTAGTTCCAGTTTTGATCAAACTACAGCAAATCTGCTCTAAATGATATCAAAATTTTAAATAAAACCTCCAAATACCAGCATAAAAGGTCCTGAATTACCAATTAGTCAAATAACACCAAATTAAGAAGACCCATTTTGTCTTCAACAATTTCTAAAGACCAACAATGAAATATTGAGATTTTCTAAGTAAATCATTAAATCATGTTTGAACTAAAAATTTAAGCATAAATTATTAATATTCATACAATTCTAACAAGATCGATCATTAACTTCCAGTTTATACCCCCAAATAAAAAATTAAAGCTCCTAATATTGAAAAACTATAGAGTTCTTGGTGAATAAGAAGCCTATTTTTGTAGAAAAGTGAAAAAACGGTGGCAACATTTGAAGAACAGTCCCTTAGGGGAACAACGGGTGCAACTTTGTAGTAAAGTAACACTAGACAACCCTGTATTTTAAATAGTGGCCTGTCTAGTTTTGATCTGGGTCGGTTGTCATGCCCCGACCTTGGGGAGGGGGACCGACGCTCAACTGAAGTGACCAGTAAAGCAAGCCCACCTGGTGCCTACTATCTAACTTTACCCATAAATAATTTAAGTAGAAAAAGATATTTGACCTGGTGCCTATTATCTAACCTTGCCCATGAATAATTTAAATAGAAAAAGATATTTGAAGCAATCATATTTGATGAAGCAATCATATTTGAAGCAATTCAAGCAAATGAGTAGTTGTACAAGGAGTTTCATAATGATTTTATGGAAGGAGTCTAGCCAAACATACCTTATTCGAGCTTTCCTTAGGATCCCTACGATGTTCCACTACTCTTAGCAACTTCAATGTACATCAACATAGTTCAATTGGATTATCATTAGTAAGAATTCTTATATTTTAGGTCTTTTAGGCATTTTGCCAAGCACCTAATGTGCATACTTGTCTACAACCTTCTACAATGGAGTTTTTTCATCCTACAACCAACTTCCACACCAACAATTCACCTACAATTGTCATTAGGTAAACAACAACCTCTATTGGTACTTGCATGCCCAACAATATACTCCCAACCCGACATTCTCATTTCATATTTCTCACATACATCTAATTTCAAGATTGGGGGCTTATGGCTTCCAATCACCATCCCATAAGCCCTAACTGTTACACACATAAAGTTGGAGGATCTATGAAGTCTAAGTGGAACCAATCAGATGGCGACAAGTTACCAAGCAGAAGAGGCAATTGCATGCGACCGGATTTTGCCAACTGTCCCACCGGGCATGACAACCAGTGCGGTGCGACCCACTTTTCATGTGGAGCGGCGGGATTCCCTATGCTTAGTATGACATAAAAGGAAAAAAGTATCTCTTTCTCTAGGATCCTAGAAAACATCCCCAAGATTAGTTCACTCAAAAGTTCTCTTAAACCTTCTCTAGACTTTCTCAGAAACAATCTAAGGCAAGGTTGAAGGTAAATCTAGCAGATTGAGCGTAAGGAAGCTTTAATCATCGCTATAATATCTGTTGCCTTGTTGTGTTGACTCTGGAGATTCGTTGTAGGAATACAGTTAGTTCTCTAACAAAGGTATGTAGGACAACTTTCTTTCTTGGCATGATTTGGTATGAACTTTTTTCTCTCCTTTAAGTATTTCTACATTTATAAGGTCGATCTGTTCTAAGCCTTTCCCAGTAACATAACTGTCATATGTGTGTCCTCTTACCGGTAACAATTCTCTTAAGCTAAGGAGTCTTTAGATAATATTACGAAGTCAGGAAGTATAATTCATTTTGAGTTATTCATGGTAGTTCCCTTGAAATGGACGTATAATATATACATATATATATATATTTTACTTTACTGAGTCACGCTATAGTCGGACGGGTGCAGCACCTATTGTGCAACCACTAATCACTTGGTATAATGAGACATGATATGAGATATTATCGAGTCCTTGTGTGTCCAGGTGCGATGATGTGTGATGTGAGGCTACCGAGTCCTCTTGCTGCCGACTATGCCGAGTCTTGTTGAGGCAGGGTATAGTCGAGGCCTCCTGAGGTCGGGTACGATCGAATTATCTATGAGGCCAGCTATGGAGTGAAATGTGATGATATGCCCTAAAGAGTGGCTTGGTTTTACAAAAGCTTGCGTACATTTTTGTTTCATGGTTATAGCAGTGCACGCCCCTGGTGGCTTGTCTATGGTATCCGGGTTAAGCTTGTGTATTCTGTCTCTTATGTTATGCCGCTGATTTACGCTTGTTATCTGTTTTTCATACTTAGTACATCTTTCGTACTGACGCCCTGTTGATTATTGTAATTAGTAGAAAGATTTGGTTAGATTAGATTTTATTCTCTAGCCTAATTATAGGCAGATTTTATTTTGTAGCTTGATTGTAGCAATTACTAATTTCTTTTCCTAGTTTAGCCATAGGATTCATTGTATAAATGTTAGTACTCTTGATGAATAGATATACAAAAAATACAAGAAGCTCTTCCTTCTTCTTGAAATCATCATGCTATCAGAGCCTCTGCTGCCATTTTGAGGTGAGTTTCCTCCCTCAGCAGCACTAGTGTTCTGGTCTTTGAAAGAGGTCGAGTTTTTTCCTCCCTCACGGTGGTTGTACGCATCGGAACAATTATATACCAGTAGTGTGGAAAAACTAACACCACTATAAGCTTCCTTAAGCGACAACGACAAAACCCCAGTAAGCATCTCCGAGAAAAACCTCTCCACGCACCGCCAACAGCTCCGACTCCCGCGCGCGTATATCTCACGCGCCCGCGAGTAGACATCTTTCCGGCAAATTTTTCTGAAATTCTTTTGCTCCTTTAAGATCGCCAGCACATTCCGACCTTATCCCAGTTCCAAAAAAAAATTCTCTCACCGTGGGTAGAGTTTCAGCTTCTCAGATCTTATTTTACAATGAAGGTTGGTATTTTTTTCTCTCATCCTTGGAGTTCAGGTTTGGCTTCTGGACTGCTACTTGTGAAATAATGGGGGACACCAAATCAACAGATAATTCTCTTTCACAAATGGTTAATTCTGTTTCACAAGTTAGCGTAGTTAAATTGGATGGGGATGGTACATATCTTGCTTGGTCAAGCTCTTGTTTGCTTTTTATTAAGTCCAAAAAGTTGCTTAGTTATATTACGGGAGAAAAGAAAGCACCTGTTGTGACGGATGATAGCTATAGTCAATGGGATTTAGATAATTCCCTAGTTTTGACATGGCTTTTGAATATTATGCACCCTCAAATTTCTAAACAGTATTTATTGCTTGATACTGCTGAAAAGATCTGGAATTCCACTAAGCACACTTACTCTCGTAAGGGAAATGACGCTCATGTCTTTGAAAGTCGAAATACGATTCATGCCACTTAGCAAGGTGAGTTGACTATCACTGACTACTATTCTGAGTTAACTGGGTTATGGTAGGAAATTGACTACTATCAGGATCTCCAAGCGAAGTGTACCGATGATGCAGTTCTCTTTCATAAATTGGTTGAAAAGGAAAGGATATATGGTTTTTTGGCCGGTTTGAACCCAGAGTACGATCTGATCAGGGTTCAAGTTCTCGATAAAGTTCCTTTTCCTTATTTTGAGGATGCATACTCTTATGTTCAATAGGAAGAGAGCCGACAAGGAGTCATGCTTTATTTCGCACCAACCGAGAAGTCTTGGTTAACTGTGTCTCATGAGCAAACAAAGGCGTTCACTTCTGATAAAGATCACTTGCACTGTGATTACTATGGAAAGTCAAGACATATAAAAGAGACATGCTGGAAACTGCATGGTAGACCAACTAGAGGTCGTGGAGGCAAGCGTGTCGTTCTATCAAGGGGTCAAGCGAATGTTGCAGAAAATATGGAAACATTCAGAGAAAATGCTTCAGGAGAAACTTTGTCTTCGGAGGAAGTTCAGCACCTTCGCTGTCTCCTGAACAAACTTGACACTTCTAATGTTGGGACTTCCAATTATGCGCAGTTAGGTATTGCCTTTAATGCCCATCTTAATTCTTGGATTATTGATTCTGGTGCGAATAGACACATACAGGCTCCTCTAAAGGTTTTCAAAACTACTCTCCTAGTCCCAAAGGGGATTGTGTCAGAATAGCCAATGGCTCTCTAACCAAAATCGAGGCCAACAATGACCGATGCCATATATGAGGGACTTCGAACAAAGCACAATAATGGGATAGCGAGATATCAGTAACCAATCGAAGATCACGGCGGAAATCTCGGAATAGATCAAATCTAGGGTGGTTGTTTGTGCCAATCATGGGATTTACTTTCGTAATTAGAATTGTACCATATTTAGAATTCCTCTACTATATAAAGGGGATTCCCCATCATTTGTAGACACCTTACATTCACTAATATCAAAGCAATATAATATTTCTCAACTTACTTTCTTGTTCATCAGCTTATTGTGCCTTTAGCTATTTTTGCATAACTAGTTCAAGGGTGTACGAGCTCGAGGTCTCTGTCCAAATGTTGGTTTGATTTATATTATAGTCAATTTGCTTCAATTATCTTTACGTTTATCAGTTGGTATTAGGTGAAATCACATATCCTTAAAACTGCATTATAAGTTTAATTT